CTGCCTTCTGCCCACCGTGAAGAGGTTGGATGAACGTACTGGTATACAATGAGCTGTCATCATCTTCGTCCTCTTCCTCTTCCTCCTCTTCTCTTGTGTACAGGCAAGAAGAGTCTTCATAGTCTGATTCATGAGGCACATTTTCTTTATTGTCATCACATTCAATCACAACAGTTGGCACTTGTCTTATTTCGGGAAGGCCCATAGGTCCTGCTTTTGTGACACCGTCACCCGAGTGCAAACCAGAGCTGTGGTAAGAAGTGGAACAGGGGACCCGCTGCTCAGAGCTGTTTAAAGAGAAGGAGGAGACAGGAAATTCATTTTGGCTAACATGTCATAGAAATGCACTGGCACCGTTTTAAAACTCAGTTGTCCAGCCCTAAGAAACAAAGGGTACACCGGGCAATTGAAATCCCATTGCTCATCTTACAGTTAATCATTTTAGGATGGCAGAGTCTCCTGATGGTGGCAGTGGCATGGAACAGGAAATAAGAATTGTAATTCTCTGTGAATGGGCGGTGGTGATGGTTGCACAACAATGTGAACGTACTTAATGCCACTGAACTGTACGTTTTAAAATGGTTAAGATGGTAAATTTTATGTTATGTGTATTTACTATAATATTAAAAAATTTTTAAAGAGCAGGGGTAAAGGATTAATTTGATAGTGGAGCAAGAGATCCAGGAAGGAAAGATAATAACTGAGGTTCCAGTTTCCACAAGCTGTACAGGGTGACTGACAGGAATTGAGTGTGGGAGAGACTGCTTGAAACGTCCCAGGTGGAGACGCAGAGAAAGGCAGCGGGGGATGAGCAGAAGGCTGGAGACTCATGCATGACACTGTCAGGGATGACCTAGAGAAAGTTCTCTCCCACGGACGGTGACAGATCCTCAACAGGGAGCCACAGGTAACACCAGTCTGGTTTTTCCGTAAGGTCAGTTTGCTAAGAAGCAATGATGATAATATTTTTGGTTCTATCTCTTAAGTTGAGCCAACTTTCATCAAATATATTTAATGTTTTCAAAAGCTATACGAGTTCATTGTTGGAAAATTAGAAAATACATGTCATCAAAAATAAAGAAAATAGTTATTTTCTTAATAGTGTCTAAGGATCATACAGCAACTTAGAATCCTTTGTATGACAGGCTGTGCATAAAGTCCAGCAAGAATGAGAATTCGGAGCCAGAAACACATAGTTAAATTTTGTAATTCTTTTTCAGATTAACTGGAAGTGGAATTTATATCTTTCATTTAAGGAATTTCTAAACACAGGAGACTCAATGCATTTTACATCCAAAAGTGTCTGACACTCACAAGGACGTGGAGCACGAGGTTATGTTACAGATCGGTAAGATTTGCATTTCAGTATTTTGTCCAAGACAAATCTTACTTATGACATACAAATGCATGAGTCTCCTTTGAAGCTTTCAATTATGCTTTAAATTATTGCTATGTCTAAGTTAAATTCAATTAACTTTCTTCCTTCCACTGTTTCCCAAGAGCTGCTTTTCTCTTTGCATTTTCCACATAACTCTTCAGTGACATGTGGAAAATCTAGTTAACACATTATGAGCTATAACGTTTGAGGCAATGAACTAAACCGACTTACAAAAAAAACCTTCAACTACTGAATAAGAATTAAATCACATATTTACAAAAATGCAGCATCTTAGGCAGTTTAAGTGGGCCCATTTCCCACCTAATTTAATACAAATGGCAATGGGAGCAGGGCAGTGAAATACATGACAGACGGTCCCAACGTGACAATTATAACATGTGACTGGAAGACTGATTGACGGGGAACTTCTTGCCACCCTGTGAGGTGGCCCTTCCATCGGGCACCAGCGGTGACTGCATTCCAGCAGTGCCTGGATTTCCACACTGGGTACTGAAGGAAATGGGAATGGAAGAGGAAAAACGTAATCCATGGCGTGTGTTCCGCCCCAATCCTGCCTTTCCCTCTCTCCGCTTTACAGTTTAATAGCAGTGGTTCCCAAGAAGGCACAGGGCTCGGGATACTGCAGCTGGGAGCCGGGATGCAAAGCAGCCCAGAGATATTCTTATCTGGTGGGAAGAATCTTTTGAGGAAAGAAAAAAAAAAGCTGGAGACCAGAAAGCATGAGTTCCTTAAGGTAGAAGGCTCCAAACTTCAGTATACTAGACTGTCATGTAGAAGATTTGCTCAAAGTAAAGGCCTTCATTGCAAAGGAAAGGTGAAAACTATTAGCCCTGCAAGCAGTAGTTAAAACATAGTATGAGGTGCTTACCACACTCTGTACCACATGGCCCACATAATTAACCCAGCCTCATTTCCCCTTCCTCACCTCTACGTCCAAATAGCTACCCCTGGTTGAACTATGCGTTCAACACTCTTGGGCCTGGAACATGCACCCATCGCATCTTCAACCCATTCATTCCTATTTATCTTGTAAGACTTGTCTCAGGCAACGCCTTGAATACTCTTCACGGGAGAGAATTCGAATGTGAAGATTGTGACCATCTGTTTGCGTACTGTTTTCCCCTTTCCACCCACGCTGTGAGCTCCTGGGAAGGCAGGAGCCATGACTCGTGTTTGTGTCTGGTGCCGGTACCATGCCTGATGCAAAGTGGACATAGTCATTGTTTACTGTTTTAGCTGAAGGAAAGAAATATGAGCTGGGATGACCGCTACTTAGATAGATGCATTTGTAAGTGGTTGACAAACAATATTCAAAGGCATTTTAATTAAGAAACTGTTTCAAATTTAATTTTCAGGGAGGCATCTGGTGGTGTACTGCAGGGATGTGGTGCCCCAGACTCCGCTGGCACGGTTATCGATGGCTTAGGTAATGACAGAGAGGACATCCTCATGGAGTACATGGAAGAACCAAGGTAGAGAAGGAGAGGAGGGAGAGTGAAAAAAGGGAACATTTACTGTAAATGTCACTCACCGTTCTAGAACTTTCACATTTAGTATATTACTTCACCTGTATAACAACCCTACAGGACAGGTACTATTCCCCTTATTTTATGAAACAGGAAATTGAGGCTCTGAGAGGGTAGTTTGCGGGCCCACAACCCGTTAAAGGAAGGAGTTGGAATTTGAGCCCACTTCTGTAATCCAAAAGTTGAACCGTGATACTTAACAAGATTGCATACTTTGATGTGTTTACATATTTGTGTTTACACAAACCCTACTAAGATTGTATACTCTGATTAAATACAAACCCTACTAACTATACCATGCAAAATGGAGGAAAGATCATGCCTTGTTAACAACATGAGTAAAAAATGGGCATCGTTACTTTACAGCTGTTTTCGATCTTACTAACTGAGGTAAGTAATAGTGCTCTGCCCTGGCATGATCAGGCCACTCCTGGGCACTGAGTTTAAAGCAGCGGTCCCCAACCCTTTTGGCACCAGGGACCGGTTTCATGGAACATTTATTTTTCCCCCCCGCTGGACGCGGGTTGGGGGTATGGGAGGGAGGTGGAGCTCAGGTGGTGATGCAAGCGATGGGGACCAGCTGTAAATACTGATGAAGCTTCCTTGCTCCCCTGCTTCTCAGCTCCTGCTGTGTGCCCCCTCTGTCCCTGTTCCTTGTTCCTGAGTTCATGGAAGACAATTTTTCCATGGACAGAGGTGGGGTGGAGTGGGGATGGCACAGCTCTGCAGCCCAGTCCCTAACAGGCCATGGACTGGTACCAGTCTGTAGCCTTGGGGTTGGGGACCACATGTTTAAAGGATTCATCTTAGACACAGGGTTCAGAATTGTCAGGGTGGTGAGGGGACCCATCTGTTTACCCATTGTCATGGCTGCTTTGGGACCAAAATGGTAGAGCAGAATAGTTGCAACAGAGCTTAAAATACTCACTACTATCCAGTTCTTTACAGAAAAAGTTTTCTGAGCCCTGATCTAAACCAATGTTTCCTAAACCTCGATCATACTCACACCTAAATTTTTTGTGTATGCCATCTTTGAAGTCCATTCACTATTATTTACTTTGTATTTTTAAGTCAATACAGTAGTTTTTAAAAAACTTCAACACTATTGTAGCCTCATCTTAAGCAAATATTTTCGTAACCATAGGTTATATATGGTAATTATATGTTTATAACATGTTAAAATAAATACATATTTTTATATTTATAATCTACATGTTAATATTGACACATATGTATGACATTTAATAAAATGTTGAAATTTATAAAAGGTTGTTCTAAGCTTATTTTATGTACCACTAATTATGTAAATAACACATTTTGGTTAAATGTTGGCCTAGCAGACTAGGCTTTTTTTTCAACCTGGGCATGACGGACATTTTGGGCCAGACAATTCTTTGCTTTGGGCACTGTCCTGTGCATTGTAGTGTGTTTAGCAGCACTCCTGGCCTTTAACCTCTAGATGCTAGTAGCACTTCCTCCAAATCTCCATATGTTGCCAAATGTCCTCTGGGGGACAAAACTGTCCCAGACAGGGGAAACACTGGCCTACAGCACCCACAGTGGCTTTGCTACATGCTGCATTCTCAGAGTTGTACCACATGAGTCTCTTTAAAAAGCCACTTAGATATTGATCATCAGGAATTTGCAGTATTCACCGGATGATGGAGAACTGTCCATATCTTATCACGCAAGTTCCTGATTTACTGTCCCTCAGGCTGGCATTCTGGGGGCTGTTTCAACACTGTGATGCTCTCGGGGTTCCACTCAGCTATTTGCATCCCTGAGCCAGTAAGCCTTAACGCAAGAGCTCCAAAGTGGCTCTCGAGTGAATCAGCTTTTCTCATTATGTTGCCCAGATCAGTGATTTACTCAATGACACTCTAGTGGCCTGAAGGAGTCACCACATCTTCCCAAGTACCTGTCAAATTCCCTGAGGAACAGCTGAGTCATGTAATAAAATCTATTCTGGACCATTCACGTCAAAACTCTTTGGCATTAAGCATTTAGTTTGCTCTGAATTCAAATGGACTTCATTACCCATGGGTTGTGTTCACCGTTCCTCTTCCCGCTGGCTGACTAGCTTCTAAAACCACAGCGAAACATAAAGCATCTCATCCTAACCCGCTAGTTAGAGGCTTTGTTAATTCTTACTGGGTAATTGCAGATAATGATGATGAAAGTTAACATTTTTTTTAACACCCACACTATACCATTTATTGATCCATTTAAGCCTCACAACGACCCTAGAAGACAGGTACATTTTGGCCCCCAAATTTTAGAGAGGAAAACACGAAGGCACATGATCGAGGCCACACAGCCAGAGGGGTGCAGGTATTATTGAACTCTGTCAGACTACAGGACCCAATCTCTTACTGATGTCACTAACTGCTGCCTGCGCAGAAGCAGTGGTCCTGCAATGTCTCTGAACCTTACTCTTCTTCCAGAACCTCCCTCTCCCCACCACCACCTGGCCCAGCCTCCATACTGCTGTCAAACAGGTCTGATCACGTAATTCTCTCAATTGGAAGAGGCTAGAAGGGACTCACTGTACTGAATAAACTGTCCCTCTTTGGCATGGACTAGGAGGCACCTCATGATCTGACCCCCAGCTCCTTTCAATCTCATGTTACTATTTTGTACGATGCTCCCAGAGTTCCAGCCACACCAGGCCACTTGCCACCGCCCAAGTACATTGTAGACTCCTGCCATCACTCTGCCTCAGAACTCCCCTGTCAGTTTGGCCTGGAGCATCCTACCCATCCTTTGGCGATGGCTCAAATCACATTTCATTTGAGAAGCTTTTCTGATTTTTTTCCAATGGAAATCAGTCCCTTCTCACCAACACAGCTCCTGGTCCCACTTCTGCTATTGCATCTGTCACATTATGTTACAATTACACGCATGGCTAAGCACCTGCCCCAGCCCCACGGACTGGGAGCCTCTCAAAGGCAGAGGCTGATTATGATTTTTCCACCCCAGCCTCATCAGTGAGCATGTCTTTGGCACTGATGGAAAAGCCAACCAAATATTTGAAGTCTCTCAGAATCACAGTAGGCCATATTACATTTCCAATTACCTAATTCACTAAAATAATGATCCCCGACCCTTAGATATGGAGTCTGGCTGTTGTGGAAAAAGTATCCTTGTGAAAGAGAATTGAGGTTTTTGGAAATATTGATCTAGAGTTCTCTTTCCTAAGAAGAAAATCCCAACAGAAAGGCACTGAGAATCTATGCAAGGAAGGGAGCAATGGGACCTGTGTCGCAAGACTGTGTGTGCGCAGATGACGGAACAGAGAGAGCTTACGGTTATTCCATTTTCCCAGTTCTGTACCCACAGGCTGTCAGTCCACTTCAGCTCAGACTGTCCAGAGTTAGGTTGCTTTGTAAGGTGAGGTCATTGGGTTAGATGAGATCTATAAGGTTTCCTTTTATACTAACATTCTATGATGAATTTAAACAAACACCAAAGGCCTTAAATTATTCTCTAGGGGAATAAAAATGAACTTCTGCTTCCTATCATCTAGGTAGCTCCAAATAATACAATTTTCCTGACAAATTTGGGATAAACACGTAGAAACTGAAGCCAGTTCCATGATGTTCACAAGATGTTGGACAGTTGCACCATTTTGGAACATTTCCCTTCTACTACTTAAATACACCAGGGGGTTCCATGGCTCAGGATGAAGGAGCAGGAGCATCTTTCAAAACAACCACAACAGCTAACACGGACCGTGAGTGTCCTACGAAAGTGGGTTGTAAATGTTCATCATCTCACTTAATCTTCACAAAAACTTGCAGAGTTAAGAAAGGTATCATGATTACCTTGATTTTTAGGGATGAGGACATTAAGTCCCTGAGAACCTGAGTGACAACGTGGCTGTGGTCACAGCAGGGATGTGAACTTGGGTCTTCTCACTCCAGTGCCTGTGTTCTTTCCATGAACCACAGCAATGCCTGTTCCTTTCCCATATACCTACCTGCTGATTACGAAGTGCAATTTATACCACAAATTTTAAAAAGCCATGGAATATAACAATTATTTTTATAACAAAAAGCAAGGATAACAGATGATCACAAAACCCAATAGTCTGTTGCTATGAATTTTGCTGTGAAGAGCCCCCCATGGGGACCATTGTAGAAGCCACGGGGAGGGGGTTGCACTCTAGACTTGGGGTGCAACAGTTTTTGTGTGTGTAGCACAGGGCTAGGGTGAGTAGGTGTGCAGAGAAAATAGCCTACAAGAGGAAGGAGAGAATAATTAAATTACCAAGCTGGATAATCCAACCTTGGATAATAGAGTATTACCAATAAAAAGGAAGCATGCCATGGGGTTAGTGTGTATTATGGCCACGTTAATGACACATTTCTGTGAGAAAAGAAAGGTGTTACCATCACTCTCCTCCCACTACCCTGCTTCAACTTTCTTCAGTGTCCCATCCCTGCATGACATCACATTCCGTATTTTTGGTGTATCATATGTCCCTCTCACCGAAAAGTAAGCCCAGGAGGACGAGGACTTTGCTGTGTCCTTGCCGTCTTCCTGGAGGAGAGAAGGACCTGAGTGAACAGGGAAGAACGAGTTTGCGAGTAAAACAGCATTCTTGAGTCGGCAAAGGCACATACTGAAATCTCTCCTTTCCTTCGTCACATCCCCATGGCTCCTTAGGGAAGTGAAAAGGTTTATTTTCTCTCATCAGTCCTGTCTCCGTCAAGAATGATTTTTTTTTTTTTTTAGGAATGACCTTTAACATGTCTTCTTTCTGGAAAACTCAACTCTCTTCTTTGACTCTCGCAGACTAAGTTAGGAGACACGTAGATTGAGAACACAGTGGGGCCTCTCAGGGAACCACCCCACCTGCCCCCATTTTCCTACCATAAATGGCCACATGTTTCTAAGAAATCTCCAGACTTTGAAAATGAAGACTTGCCTTT